ACAAATGTGTGGTCCTGTCAGTATTGTTTGCTAACATATTATTGTTATTACCAGTGCGCAATGAATCATGGGATAGGTTGGACGACGAAGGATCCACCTGTAGGAGCCTTTGTTTTCCAGAAAGAAAGACGCTATTGAAGGAGCTTTTGAAATAAGAAAGTCTACTTGCGCCGCTGTGACGCAGTCTGTCTTCAGATGCAGCCTCTGAAGGATGAGACACAGCTACAGTGTTCCATAATGTCCAGAAGTGTTTTTACAGATTATTATGATGTCACAGCGAAGTTGACCTTTGACCTTTTAGATATTTTATCCTGTTTGTCATAATTAATGTCCAAGTGAATGTTTGGACCAAATTTGAATAAATTCCTTCGATGTGTTCCTAAGACACGACCTGAAAACACAATGTCGCCGACCTCGACTGTTGGTGGTCTAGAGGCATAAAAAAACAAAAAAAAAAACACAAATAAACAAACAAAACATTTTCTTTTCTTCAGTCCGTTCTGCAAAATTACAGAAAAACCATCTAGTATTTCCTCATTTTACCCCAGTGGTTCTGTATCCATGCAGATAATTTTAATATTTTCGTTTAATCTGCTCTAATTTTGAGATTTCGACCTCTTGAATGGAATTTAGTTTAATTAATCGGTCAAACAGATGTGATTTAACCTTTGGTCTTTGTCAGAAAGTAGCTGTAAATAACATTAGAGACCAAACACATATTTACTCAGTGATTAGTTTTATCAGTAAAACTTCAGCTGCTTTAATCAGTAACAGCTTGTCCTTCACACTCTGACTCTAAATCTCATGCTGATGATATATATACTTTTCAGACTCAAACCAACACAAGTGTCTCCACTAACAAATACTGTGTGTCCATCACAGCCTCATGTTTCTGATTCCTCTAAGCCTCAGATTAAAAACAATAAACTCACTACAACACCAAATGAAGATTAATCCACTGCTGAAAATAGTCCCGGACAAAGTCACTGTTCCCTCTTGTTGGACTTCGAGGTAGAGCCACAAAACATAGGATTTACTTCAATGTTTCTGTGATTGGACAACATTATAGTATCATCTGCAATTAAAATATTAGATGTCAGATTACAAACTCAATAGATCATTGAGGTAAATGAGGAACATTAAGGGCCCTAACACTGACCCCTGATGTACTCCTGACTCCAGACTATGGCTGTTTGTAGAAAAACTATTTACTATTTAACTGTTTAAGTAAAGTGTTGCTCCAGATTTCTCTGTGTAGGTCGGTTCCAAGTTGTGTCACATGGTCTTGTCTAGTTAAAAAATGAAACTGTATTTGTGAGGTGAAGATTTGCGTCTTCAGTCAGAACCAATGAGCTAAGAGTTGAGAAACAGAGACACTAACATAGTGATGGTTTGAGTCTAATTATGAGGCTTTATGATGATAAGAAAAATATATTTAATTCATAAAAATTCAAACAAAACTTTATAACAGACAACCTTAATATGAACTAAAACAGTTCAGGTCTTAAACCCAGAGCTGGATTCACACAGAGAAACAGTCACAATGAAATTGATCACTAAATAAGATCATATTGGTTTATTTTGTTTGAGTGTGACTCAAATATCATGTTTTTTGGTGAAATACTCCTTTACTCTTGAACACAGAGCAGCTGTGTAGGTCTGTATGAGAGCCCAGAAACACTGAGTGTCACAGTGAAACCAGCTGGTACTGCACACACACGCACACACACGCACATACAACGCACACACACGCACATACATCGCACACACACGCACACACATAATTGCAGTTGGTTTCAATGAGGTGAAAATATTTCAGACATTCCTGAGAGCTGATAACGACTGAGGAGGAGGAAAGGAGGAAAGAAGGGAAGAAGGGAGGAAGGAGGAGGCAGAGGAATAAACAGGAGGAGACAGATAGGAAAGGAGGGAGAAAGAGAATATATTAAGAGGCTTCACATACTGGAGATAAGAGGGTCCACATGTAATGCCAGACATAATAAACCCTCCTGGTCAGTGGGGTACAGGGATGCCTGTTGTGTCTCTGAGCCAATCAGAGCAGAGTTTATGACTCTTACCTGTTTCTGTTGACACAATGTCAATCAGTGTAGAAATAGTTAGTCAGGACGTTTTGTATATGTGTGATATCTTGACCTTGTTTTTATTTTTTAAAAGGAAATGGTCAGATGAACTCATTCATTAATTAAGGAGCCTGCTTTCTTTGTTTTAAACGATCTTTGAAAAACCTTGAATCGTGATTAATAAATGTGTACATAAATGATCAAACAGTGTTTGTCAGCCCACTGGTTACTAGTGTTAGCCTTGCGTGTCTCTATAGGGAGCTGTGTGAAGTCTGATAAGTAACCTTAGGTGATATCACTTGAGTCTGAACATCCTCATGCGTGATACAAACAGAACAAGAACCAGCTGTGAAAACATGTCTCCAGTGAAACCAGTGCAGACTTTGACCAAACCAGGATCCATGAGCCACATGTTGGACTCAGAGTCATTATTACAACATCCTCAGATATTCAGCATCACTTACTGAGGCTGCAGGAGCCCCAGATAATCTACAGCTGAACTTCAGCAGGACGACTGTGGAGCCCGTCCTCCACCTTCAAACACATTATTCATATATTAAACCAATCTTCACTGTGGAGTTAGTTGATCCACAGACAATCCTGCAGCTTCAACTCACATGAACACACACCAACCGCTCTTCACATGGACAGGAGACACTTCACAAAGTCCACACACACACACACACACACACACACACAACACACTCACACTCAGTGACTTACGTTTGGAGTCCTTGACAGTTTTCAGAGCTGACTGCAGCCGCTCCAACATGATGAACTGAAACACCACAAACAACTGCACGTCCTGTCTGTCCTCCTGTCTTTCTCTCTCTGTCCTCCTGTCTCTCTCTGTCTCTCTCTCTGTCCTCCTGTCTCTCTCTGTCTCTCTATCTGTCTCTCTCTCTCTGTCTCTCTTACTCTGTATCTCTCTGTCTCCCTGTCCTCCTGTCTCTCTCTTTGTCTCTCTCTCTGTCTCTCTCTCTCTCTCTCTCTCTGTCTTCTGTGAGGCAGGTTGTGCCTCTAGTAGCGGACGAGCGAGACTGAGTCTGAGCTGTAGAGAGAGAGAGAGAGACAGCTGGGAGTGGGGGTGTGGCTAAAAGAGCAGATAGTGGTGGGCGGGAGCTAAGAGTAACACGGGGGGGGGGTAACAGTAGAGATTATAGTTTCTGTCTCAGAGCTGTGAACCTCCGTGTTCTTCCAGCTGAATGAGGCTGAATCACTGAACAAACAGGAGCTCAGGTGCTGCTGTAATCATGTGAACACAGTCACTGCAGTCAGCTGCAGACCCACACCAGCAGAGTGCTGCCCGCGCCCCCCAGAGGCTGCAGTATTCATTACAGCTGCTGTATGAACAGAAAACATCCTGATCACTGACCTGTTCATCAAAGCTGAACATACACTGATTTTTAACAGGCTGGCTGCCGGGGGAGGGGCCTGCTGCTGGGGGAGGGGCCTGCCAGCCTGCAGGAGTCCTCAGAGTCTCACCTGCGGTCCGGCAGTAACTTTTTCAAAACGTCAAGGTTGAACGAATCTGAACAATTACGTAATTTGTATGAACTAATTTATATGCAACTCATACAGTGTAGTGAAACTTCCCTGGGGGGCTGCAGCAGCAGGTGAGTCCTCATTCTTGTTTGGGGGGGGGGGGGGATCCCAACAGTCTCAACCATTTTTATAATGAACAATCTCAACATATGTTAACAACTGAGCAGCTGTAACGCCTCCTTCTCTCTTTCTTTCTTATATCCCATTTTCCACACTTATTTCTCTGTCATCGTCTCTCCAGCGATTGGCTGAGCTGCGTCCTGTGACCAGAGCCGTAAAGGCTGGAAAAGCTGCGACAGTTAAAGTAGAAACATTCCCTTAAAATTGAATAATTCTCAGTGATAGCTATAGGTAATAGGTCCAAGTCTGGACTGGATGATGTCTGGGTCCAGATCTGGACCGCAGTCCGCCTTTTAATGACCTCTGATCTACACTGAAGAAACCAGAGATGTGCAAGTTCAAATAAAAACTGAGGGTGGTGCCAGAGGAAAGATTGTGGTGTCACTAATCTAAAGGGTTAATTCTGCTATACGGCTAAACTGTTACTGCAGCTGCTAACTGCTCACTCACTGTGTATTACTGCTGCTAAATGCTGCTCCTGTTTGCATTACAGTCGCTGAATCTACCAGCAATCACTGCTGCTCAGAGGTTCTTCCTGCTAACTGCTGCAGTAAACAGGAGTTAACTTCCACCACAGCCGCTAAACTGATTTATTACTGTGTGGCTCAGGAGGCAGAGCGGGTCAACCACTAATCAGAAGGCCGGTGGTTCGACCCCCAGCTCCTCCAGTCCACATGTAGAAGTGTCCTTGGGTGAGATACTGAACCTGAAATTGCTTCTGATGGCTGCTCCATCAGCATACAAGTGTGTGTGTATGAACATGTGAGTGGATGGGTGAATGTGGCTGGTATTGTAAAGCAAACAATATAAGACGAGAAAAGCACTCTACAAATCCGGCCCATTTCTTTACCATTCAACAATAGTGACGCCTCTAAGTATTCTGCAGCTGTTCTTGTTGCCTCCAGATGCTGCTGTTATTGTTGTTGTTGGTAAAAGTTAGCTTGCTGCTGCTAAACTCAAGAGTTTCAGAGTGGTAAAATGATCCATCACTCAGCTGATCACTGGTTTTGCCAATGATTATTGGTACAACTACACAGTACAGTAAAGTTAACATTTGTACTACATTAGAAGTTCTATCAAACCAAACTTGTAAACTTTTAGTTCGCTCCCACTTCCTGCCAACAACTTTATAACTGTGTGTGTCTCCTTGAGCTCTAACAAAAACACGTGTGTCACATACACCTGTAAAACCTTTAGTGTAACAGTGACTCTGCATCAACAGTCGAGGGCTCAGGCTGATTCTCTGGGACTCACCGCCATTGGTCACTTCCTGAGAGGCGATGACGAATCCAAAGCCTTCACCCGGCCGCCTCCTGAGCTCCACCTCCACTGCCTTCCCCCCTCCCCTCCCATCCTTGGCGACTGCTCCCAGGGCTCCTCCCCCTCTGTTTGGAGGAGGCCCACCGGCGCTCTCCTCCACCCCCAGCAGATCACGTGGCTCTAACGTCAGAGTCACGGGAACCGAATCCAGGAAGCTGGTGCTCTGGATGAGGGCCGAGGGCGGGGGCCCGTTAGGTGTCTGGGCAGGAGGGGCCCCTGGAAAACAAAGAGGAATCAGACTGATAGAAGAAGGGACAAGGGAGACTCGATCCTGCCTTGCTCAGCGGCACACAGCACCAGGCAGGACAGGACTTACCTTGGTGGGTCCCTGAGGCCAGTGGGTGGCCCTCCTGGGGACTCTCAAGGGCCAAGCCAGCCTGGCTGAGCGGGGGAACGCCCCCCACCAAGGCACCCGTGGATGAGGAAGGCAAGTCAGCTGACGTGGGGGGGTGGGAGGAAGTGGGGGTGGCCCCGCTGTGAGGGGAGGGGAGGGGCTTGTAGATGTTGGGGGTGACGACCGGAGAGGAGGCAGGACCTGGGGGAGGAAGAGGCGACAGTTATGATTCACAAAGACAGGAACAGCACTCATGATGGAGGCGGGCTGATAATCAAACAGTAACACTCAGTAATGAAGGGGGGGTCAGGGGTCAGGGGTCAGGGGTCAGGGGTTAGGGTTCAGGTTGAGAAGTACCTCCTCTGTAGACCAGCAGCACCACCTCTCCCTGTTTGGTGTGATCCTGCAGGACTCTCTGGACCTGAAGGAGGAAACACTCAGGGTTATTATTTCTAATGGGTTTTAACAGAGACTTAAATTAGTCCCAAATACTGTTTCAGAAGGTTTTCCATCCTGATGTGAGGGCGAGGAGCTCAGAGATCTGAGAGTCCTTATCAGGAGGAACCAGCTTAGGAGGGTTCAGGCCAGCTACACTACAAGTCCCAGCATACCTGGCAGCATGCCGCGAGTAACCTGGAGACCTAAGTATAAATTCTTAGGGTCTGGTCAAAGAGTAAGAAGTTATGTCATTTCAATAAAACTACCTCCATCAGTGGATTCACACACTGAGGTGAAGTCAGTTTGTTTCAGATGCATTCAAACTTCACCATTAACCAATCAGAGAGCCCATTTCATATAAGACAGGATCCATGGTACAAACACATTTCCTCTTATATCCTGTTCAGTGATCAGGCAGTGTCTCCTGTGGTTAGCAAACCAGGTGGCTTAGCTAGGACCAACATGTTACTGCCTACTTAGCATGTTAGCATGTACCTCACCCTCCACATCATCGAGTTTCTTCCAGGATAATGTCAGAGTGGCTGTCCACCTGCTGAAGCTCAGGAGAAGCTGCTGATGCAACAGGACAATGACCCTAAACATCAAAATAAATCCACCCTCTGGAGTCATCCAGTCAGAGCCCAGACCTGGATCCAGTGGAGATGCTGAGGACTGAGCTGAAGAGAGCTGATCACACCAGACATCTGAGCTGAAGCAGCTCTATAAGGAAGAATGGTCCAAACTTCCTCCTGATCAGCAGCTACTGGAGGAGCGGGTTTCAGAGGAGGTTTAACCTCTTATTAAATCCAAGGTTCACTTCCTGTTACCAGCAGCACTGTGAAGGTTTAAGTGTTAATGTTTTACCTGGGAGAAGCTGAGGCTCTGGACGTCTGCTCCGTTGATCTTCACTATAGCGTCGCCTGGCTGCAGGGAGGGGCACTGCCTTCGATCCCAGACCCGCCTCACTACTGCCAGCTGACCCCCTTGGCCCCCCGCCATCACACTGAACCCCAACCCCCCACCCTCACAGCGTCCAAGGGCCACCGGCACAAGCTCCCCACCAGGGCCTGACGCTGGCGACCCTGCCCCAAGGGGGAGCACTAGTCCTGGGTTTCCTCGGGAAGCTGGGGAGGGCGCTTGGTGACTGGCTGGACACCCATTAAAACCGCAGGGTGGGATGTCTCTAGGTGGGGTTAGGGCGAGGGAGGTCTGGGGCATCGGCGGGCGCTGCACAGGAGCTCCAGGAGGTGTGGAGGAAGGGGGGGGGTTGTTAGCGCTGGTGGGGCTCGTGGAGTTCTGGTGGAGGCCCGTCTCCGGCTGAGACAGGGGCAGTTTGGACAGAGTGTGGGAGGACGAGGATGTGATGGGGAGTGTGGAGGAGGATATGGGCAGCGTGGACGTAGACAGATCGCTCTCTGAGGACTTGGAGCTCTGATGGTGGAGGAGGGAGGAGGAGGAGAGGGCGGGGAGAGTGCTGCTGTTGTAGCGAATCAGGGAAGACCTGGGAGGAGGAGGCGGAGGAGGAGACAGGAATCATGTTTTAGATATAGTATAGTATAATATACTATACACACACACACACACACACACACACACACACACACACACACACACAGACACACACCTTTCTATAACTTCCTGTTCTGTAACATCACTACTTCTGCCATTGTGGCTAACGCTAACACTGACCTGCGAGTTCCAGCGTTAGACAGACCGCCATCAGAGTCACTGTGATTGGCTGCTGTCCTGTCTGGTGGGGGCGGTGGACCCAGTGGTTCAGAGGAAGTGGGGGTTGGTGGGCCTGTCAGCCCGTTTGTCATTGGCTGAGCAGCGTATGAGGGCGGGGTTTGGCCTAGTCCTGGATTTGAGAGTGAAGAAGATAGAAATTATTATTAACTGATTAATATTTATCAGTGACATGTATTGACAGATGATCAGTGGATTGATAGATATATCAATTACAGGTTATAGTTATAGATTATAGAGAGCTGAGGTGAAACCAGAACTTCCAGGTTCTGTTCCTGAACTCAAACCTCTTTCACCTCGTTCTCACAGTGAGTCGTGGCTCGGGTCACACGCTTAAAGACTGAAGTTTTTATAAAAAATATATTTAATTTAGTTGTTTATTCGATATTTATGTTTTTAGCTGCCTTTAAAAAAACTCAATTTCCCATCAGCCCGAGATTTTCATAAGATAAATATCACGGCTCCACAGAAGAGGAAAGTCCATGAGAGAGTGGAGTGTCTGTGGTGAGTTCAGGTACCTGTACTAACAGTGGGACTGTAGAGGACTGAACTGAACTGTGGAAACAGTGGAGTTGATTTCTCGGAGAATGTGGACAAACTGATTAAATTAGACTGAGTTACAGAAGCTAGAGGAACAGGAGAGAGACAGGAAGTGATATCATGACTTTGACTAGCTTTGCTCTCTAACTCTAACACTTTTATTGGTTTCCTCTGTGTTTTTAACTTCAGTCTTAGACGTCTGTGAATTGGAGACGGGGAGCAACCTGGCATGCTGCCGTTGGTGTCCAGCGTGCAGCTGTAGGTGAGGTGTGTCAGGCCTCGGTTCAGGGTGGGGGGGTTGGAGGGCTCGCTGGGGGTCTGCGGCTGTTGGAGGAGTTGGAAAAAAGGTTAGTGATTTATTCAAGTTTACATGTCTCTGTTTATGCAAACAGTGGTGATGACACTAAAATATCTAGTCCAGTCTCTTCCAGTGATCCCTCACAGTGCAGTTGGGACCTTACCGTCTCCAGACTCTGTTTGGGACACCCGTCAGGGTTGTAGAGCATCGGGTATCCTCTCCTCAGCACCACGTCCACACTCTGACCCATCGGCACCGACTTCAGCATCTCCACCACCTCTTTATGAGAGCGACCCAGCATGCAGCTGTCGTTGATGTAGACCAGGATGTCGGCTGCAGGACCACAGACCAGGAGACCAGGTTAGTATATCTCAATCTGACATGAGCAGGTAACATGGAGGAGACCTGCTGCACCTTCAAGTCAAACTGAAGTTTAAATCTGTTTGTTCCAGAGATCAGTGGAGAACTCGCTGGTGTTTGTTTGTATTTATTAAAAGTTACTTTATTTTTCTGCAGTGACACTTATCTCTGCAGGAGGTCTGGATCTTTGGGATCTTTGGTCAGTTGTTGGTCCGTCTGTAAGATCAGCACTCGTGTGTTAGTTCCTCTGTGTGGTGATCACAGTGAACCTACTTCATGCTGAGGTTACAGGTTTGTCAATATCTGGACTCATGATGAGGAGACAGCTAACATTTGCTAGCCCCCCTCCTCTCTATAATGCAGGATGAACCCCCCCAGTCCACACTTTACATTCCTCCAGTCTGCAGATTCAGGACTATAAAGTAAAGGTGGACCTGGTTTGGGAGGATGTGTCCCTCCTGCTACTGCAGCCGCAAATAAACGACCTCACTGAATACTACAGACTGATGTGTGTCTACACTGTGTGTGTGTGTCCATGTTAGTGGCACACACAGAGGCAATGACCTGGTCTTCTGCATTAAATGGTCATAAATAGTGATCTCATCTTCATCTGAGACACAAGACAAACTCAATGTGTTTCTGTTGATGTTGGAACTGAGTGGTTCACTGACTGTTTCCAGCCTCCATTGTTTTATATATTTCCTATGTGAGACATGAAAGCAAATTTGTCAGTGAGATATCAAAGACTATTCATCTATGTTTACTTCCTGCTGAAACTTTTCCACTATTCAATAGTTTTTTTGTTTTTTTTTTCTTCTATTTTCTTTCAGTTATTTTAATGTTTTACTCTGCTGTTGAACAGTGTCTGGAGATTTCTGCTGAAACTCTCCACTTTCCCAGGAGATTTCATAAACGCTGTGTGTGTGTTACATTCCTGACTACTTACCCTCAGTGCACGTGAGCAGGTCTGACAGTACGGGAGAGAAAGTACACTGTGTGTGTCGGACAGATTAAAGAGAGTGTGTGTGTGTGTGTGTGTGTGTGTGTGTGTGTGTGTGTGTGTGTGTGTGTGTGTGTGTATGTATGGGTGGATTAGTTGTAGATCATGAGATTGTGTCCCTGAGAGAAATAAAGAGCTGAGAACCAAACAGAAACATAATCCTCCAGAGAGTGACGAGGTCTCAGTCGGTTTCTAACTGGAGCTTCAGACTGAGAGCAGTGAACCAGCAGCCTTCGTCGTCATGGTAAAAATAATGAACAGGTTTAAGGTCACGGTGAAAGGATCATCAGTGATAATCATTGGCTGCAGCTTTACCTAGCAGGATGTTGATGGGCTGTACACCTGTGTTCACACTGGTACACCTGAGTACTCCTTGTAGTACTTATGGTACTAGCACAGGTAACAGTGGTAGTAGTATCAGCAGTATTGATAGTAGTAGCATACTACAGTAGTTGTGGTACTTCACTAGTCTCTATAGTGACTGGATCATCAGCGGGATGAGTTGTAGTACCTGCAGGTCTCCACTGTAAGTCTCTCTGAGTCTGTCTCAGTGACGTCAGTACTAACAGAAGTACTTTCAGTAGTATAGCAGTATTAGCAGGGGTACCAGTAGTATGAACAGTATCAGTACCTGTATTGAGAGCAGGTGGTCCTCCAGGTGTGACACTGTAAACCTGGAGAAACTCTCTGGGTCGACTTCCTCCAACAATGTTGAAGCCGAAACCTCGAGGACCCTTAGAGAGTCGAGTGTGAATGGAGTATCCCTTCAACTGACTGGGCTGCTCCGTGAACTCTGGGACTGAGACAGAGGACAGGAAGTGAGAGGACAGGAAGTGAGAGGACAGGAAGTGAGAGGACAGGAAGGCACAGTAAAGAAAATCAGGAGAGGACAAGAGAACAACAAAGGATAGGATAAAGATCAGGAGAGATCAGTAGAGGACAAAAGAGATCAGTAGAGATTGGTAGAGGGCAGTAGCGGACAGTGGAGATCAGTAGAGAACAGTAGAGGACAATAGAGGACAGTGGAGATCAGTAGTGGGAAGTAAAGGTCAGTGGAGGGGAAGCAGAGATCAGTAGAGATCAGTATAAGACAATTGAGAACAGTAAAAGACAATACAGATTAGTAGTGGGAAGTAGAGGACAGGAGACGACAGGAGAGATCAGTAGAGGGCAACAGCAGAGATCAGTAGAGGACAGTAGAGGACAGTAGAGATCAGTAGAGGACAGTAGAGGACAGTAGAGGACAGTAGAGGACAGTAGAGATCAGTAGAGGACAGTAGAGATCAGTAGAGGACAATAGAGATCAGTAGAGGACAGTAGAGGACAGTAGAGATCAGTAGAGGACAGTGTGGGCGCATCTTTGACGAATCATGGGGTGAAAATGAACAAATGAACAAAGGCTCAGATCTCCTGAATCAAAGCGATGTCATGCAGACAGACACTAGAGTAGAGGATGAGTAGAATACAGTAGAACCAGTCTGTGAGTCTGTGCTGCCCTCTGCTGGCTGCCGCTGTCAAAATAAAAGTCCCCACAAACTTCCAACAGAAAAAAAATACAGATATGAAACACTGGGAACTATACAATTATAATCTGATCATTATTATCTGATTGTTATAATCTGATAATTATATTTTTATATTTATAATCTCATTGTTGTCACATTATAACAATAATAATAATCAATCAATCAATAGGTCAATCATTCAGACAGGCAGTTAGACTTACGCTCTGTACAGGAAGTCGTTTCTTTGTTCTGAGTTCGAGGATCCAGCCAGCTGGTCGTCTTTGAGTTATGACTGACAGAGAGACACATCATCATCATCATCATCATCATCATCATCATCATCATCATCATCATCATCATCATCATCATCATCATCATCATCAGTCAGAATGAATGCTGGGTAATATAGGAACACTGAAACTGATCAGAAGTTAAATTCAGTCTTCTCTCTTCCTGGTTTGGCTGGTTTGTTTGTTTTTAAATCTCTGCTTTTATAAACACAGTGATGATGTCACAGCATCAGTTTTCATGATATTATCTGACTTTGCAAGTAAAGAAAAAACTGAATTAACTGAAAACTAAGGAGGTGTGGTTCAGATAATTAGGCATTTTAATGATTAAATCCTTCGTGTCGACCAGATCCCAGTGAAAAAACATTAAAGTTTAGGTCACTAAACACCGAAGTGTCCACTGCTCACATAAATATATTTCCCCAACTTTCAGAATGAAACAGTATAATTCAGCTGAAATAAAAATCTGATTATTGATGTTTTAATTGATAAATGATCACTGATAGAGACACTGACTCGATGTAGTACGGCTCTCCTGAATCACTGTAGGCCAGCTCCCAGTTTTCAGGCAGTGGACCTCCTGCTCCTCCTCCTCCTCCTACTCCTACTCCTCTTCCTCTCCCCAATCCTCTTCCTCCTCCTCCATTCTCCAGTCCCTCCCGACTCCCCACCGCCGACTCCCATGATTTGCTGAGAGGCAGGATGGTGGGCGGGGCTCCGGCTGAACCTGCTGATAGAGAGACACAGTGTGTGTGTGTGTGTGTGTGTGTGTGTGTGTGTGTGTGTGTGTGTGTGTGTGTGTGTTTGTCTGTCCAGTATAAACTCTGTCTGTCTCTACCTGACAGTCCACTGTCCTCCTCACTGTTGTCCCCCTCCTCTACAGCTTTCTCCAGGTTGCTCAGAGACTTGCTCCTCGTCCTGAAGTTCCTCAGCAGGTTTCGATGCTCCTGGTACGTGATTGGTGGACTCTCTGGACCGATGTGGACGGGGCGGGGCGTCCCGTAGTAGTTCCCTGTGATTGGACAAAAATGACCAGGTAAACAGTGCTCGGATTGGTCAGAAACAACAGTGACACCTGATGCTCAGGTAACGACAGCACACTGCTCGATTAAAGATTAAAAACACACACTGTTTTATTTATACCTTTAAACCTCTGTAACTATGGCAACAATGATAAACAAGCTGGACATACATGTAGATCTGAAGCAACATGTAAAAAGGTGCTTACTGTGAAATAATTGTTGTAGAAAAAAATAGATACAAAAAATTGCAAAAGCAAATATAATAAATAAAGAGAGAAGAAAATGAAATAAAAAAATTAAAAGTAAAATTATATTACTAAATAAAAAATATAGAAATAAAGTCCATAATGATCAAATGATGTAGTATTTGTACTTAAATGAAGCAATTTCCTGACTGTTGTGTGAACTGATTTGATTGTTTTCAACAGTTTATTATTGAGGAAACAAATTTAACAAGGTTTATAAATGAAATATTTTATCAATAAAATCTGATACTTTATGTATATGCTCAGATCTAAAATCAATAAAAGTTGAACAGAGCTGAAGAAAAACCACAAAGTCTGTGACGCGTCACTTCATTTAGTGTGAACACAGATATTTATGTGTGAATTCAGTTTCTATTTTAGTCTCATTAATCCCATCAGATTAATACTGGGGGGGCAGAGAGACAGACAGACACAGTGGGTTAAAGAGAGATGTAGGACAGAGTGAAGCAGGTTTGGTGTTTGAGGTTTGAAGGATTAGAGACAGAAAATCCTCTTTCCTCCAAAACACTGTTAAAAATTCAATGTCACTCCACGCTGTACAAAATAACACACACACACACACACACACACACACACACACACAGACACACACACACACACACACACCTGCCTCCCTCAGAATCAAGACTATGTATGTATGTATGTATGTATGTATATATATACACATACATACATTATAGAGTAAATTCGATAATCAATTTATAGAAAATAATTAGCAGAATGAATAACAATAACCTCCCAACACTAAAACATCACCCCACACTGTGGCAAATACATTTATTCCACACTCTAAAACAGTTTGGTGTTATTAATGTGTTATATATATATATATAATAACGGCCTCTACTGTTTTGTTGTGGGTGCGTTTGTTTTTTGTACCTTTGAACTTGCCGCTCTCCAGCAGAGCTCCAGACTCCTCCAGAGAGAAAAACTCCTCAATGGACACAAAGTTGTAGTCCACACCTGAGATCTCCCCGTCCCGAGGCTGCCTGGTCGTACCTGCAGGGGGTGGTGCACTGTGATGTCATCACACAGGTTAACACAGGTGTGTAACTCGTGTCTTCATTGATTTGTGCTGGAGACTTTAAAGTTTCCATAAAAGTGAAACAAACTTTTTGAAGAAAACAGAAGATGTGAAGAATGTGGAGGAAAAATCCTCGTCTCTGATTGGCTTCTCTGTTATTTATTATTCTTATTATATATATATGTATGTGTGTCTGTGTTTGTGCACGTGTGTTTGTGTGTGTGTGTGTGTGCGTGCGCGTGTGTGTGTGTCGTACAGGGAACAGCGCGCAGGTACAGGTTCTCTCTGATGAGCTGCTGCAGCTGACTGTCCATGGAGCCTGGAGTGAAACACTTGCTGAGGTACAACCTGAGGTCCTTACAGAGGGAAGAGCCTGAGACACAGACAGGATGTGATGTCACAGTGATGTCACCAAGTACACTGAGGTACTTTTACTTCACTTGAATATTAACACTTTATTCTACTTTATAATTCTGACAGCTGCATCATTAGTTACTTTAAACATTCAGATTTTTTTTAAACAGGTATGTATATATATATATATATATATATATACACACACACACACACACACACATATGATAAGTTCATGAAATACAAAACAAAACCTTTGAAACTCAGCATCTACTAGAAAAAAACATTGATTGATCACTTTTGTAAAATTTACTCTGTGAAATTTACGTGTAAGTAATTATTGTTTTTTAAGTTTCCTCAGATGTGAACGTAAAGTAAAATACCATCAAAACATAAATTTATCAAACTTAACATGTGAGGAGGAAACACTTTATTTTACTGGTCCTGTATTTTCCGGGAAACTTTCCTCATATTTTTTTCTAAGAATTGCTGCTGTTGATGAGTCAGACATGTCCTCAAGAGTCCGACACAGTTTGATGTTAATTATAAGGAATATATTTTAAGGAAATTAAACTAAGGAATGATGAAAAACAGTTTCATGAACAGACATCAGGATCCATCAGAGACAGAAACAAAGCTTTGTTTCCTTTCTGGAAAACATCCTGGTGTTGAAAGTTTCAGGAGATGAAAAGGAAAGTTTCCAGGAAAAACACAGGACCTGTAAAATAAAGTGTGACCTGTGAGAACAACCTAAGCTCTGACCTGGTGAGACCGTCTTGATTCTGATTGGATGAGGACAGGAGTTGAGGACTCCTCTGACGTCACCGAGGGTCATCCCTAACACGGGCGTCCCCCCGATCTCCAAGATGATGTCGCCCACCGTGGCCCCGCCCCCGGGGGCTGCCGTGACAAACGGGAACTCGCCGTAGTCGGCCCCGCCCCCGATGGCCAGACCCAGCTCTCCTGAGCCCCCCCCCAGCGGGACGAAGCTCTCCTGCACCTGGAGACAACAGGTGGAGACTCATCAGTTTAATCTTCACAGACTCAGTCAGAGAATCTCCTCAGTCCAGGTGAACATGTCGTTACCTTGGAGCGCCAGTGCAGCTTCTTCACCGTCGCTTTAGACATGGCGGCCGAGCTGCAGACAGGAAACAGGAGGAGACAGGTGAAAGGTAAAGAGTTGGCTTAACAACACACCTGCTGTTCACACACACAACTTTAATGTTCAACTGACTCATGAATTTAACTGTTCCCTTCATCTCTGCTGAGCAAAGTCTGATTATTGTATCACATTCACACCTGTAAACACCTGTAAACACCTGTTCACACCTATGAACTGTTATGCACACCTGTGAGGTCCGGAGCTGTGTGAACACGTTTACACCTGGAAACACCTTTCAGACGACACATTTCTTTACCTCCCAGCTTACTCTTTTACCTCCTCCCTGACTAGGACACTTCTTGACTTCCTTGACTTGTTACTAGGAAGTGGCTTTCCCTCCTCAGGCCAGCACAGGGCATGATGGGAAACACCTGGCTCTCCACTGATCTAACAGCTGATTGGTTTAGATGTTGCATCATTAACATTAACATTAACATTAAGTGGTCTGATTCTGACACTCAGACTTCAGACAGCCTGTGGTCGTTCTACTTTACAATATGAACAATGATTCGTTTTAAACTTTCCTGTTACTTCTTTACATCCTTGATACCTAACTAGGAAGGATCTTTTCTCCCTTGCCTCCTCACTAGGATGCAGCTTTACCTTCTTGCTCCTTTAATAGGAAACATCTTTTCATTTTTGTTTCCTCATTAGGAACAAGCATTATCTCCTCACTACCTTACTTTCCTCCTTACATCCTTATCAGAGAGCTCTTTTACTTCCTCCCTATAACTAGGAAGCATCTTCACATCCTCACTACCTAAACACAGTTTTGTTGCCTCTTCACTGCATATCCTGCCCACCTACTTGCTTCCTAGGAAGCATATGTGCCTCCTTGGTAACTTAACAGGAATCTTTTCTAACCTCCTCACCACTGGACTGTGAAGCTTCTCTCTCAGACTGTAAGTGGTCTCCTCACAGTCATACCTGACACACCTGTTCTTAATCTACCTGGTTTTAATTTGTCTCTTAGCAACAGTAAAATGTTTAATCAGCAGAGAACTGTTTCCTGTTTCCTCTGAGCGTTTGGGATCAGTTCCTCCATCAACTCATCGACTCACTGCCTCAGTCTGAAAGAACAGCAGATGGTGTCAGACAGCAGGGAGCCACACACACACACACACACAAACACACACACACACACACACACACACACACACACACACACAGTCAAACATACACACAAGACCAAACACTGACACCATTTCATTTATACAATCATACCCACAGGGAAATACACACTTACTACACACACACACACACACACACACACACATACGCAGGCTGCTAGACATCGTACATTAAATATGGATGAGCATATGTGAAGGTGGGAGTTGGTGAAAAAATAAACAACAACGTCCCCAAGCAGCGATTTCAGACTTTTAACACAGGTTAGGAAGCTTCCTAGGAAGGAAGTGAGGTTCCTAGAAGTCTGAAGAAAGAAGATGACAGTGTTTGTCAAGAGGAGGTGTAGGAGGTGAAGGGTCATTACGTTGTGACTCTGTGGGTTGTGTGAATTTTGTAGAGATGGACAGAAGTGATGAGGTCACAAAGATCTGGCTCAGGGTGGGGTAAAGATGCTTCATAATCAGGTAGCATGGAGGCCTTTACAGTAAGGAAGCATCCTAGTAATTAAGTAACGAGCTAAAGAAGGATCCTAGGCAGATAGAGACAAGGTGAAGAAGTTCCCTAGGAAGGAAAGTGTGAAGTGTCTTTGTTAAGAAGCAAGGAGGTAAAGGAGGTAAAGAAGGTAATGAGGGGGTAAAGAAGGTAATGAGGAGGTAAAGATGTGTCCTAGTCATGTGCTGAGGTTGTAGTGTGTTGATGAATGGAGGCGGAGCCTGCGTGGCGTCTCTCAGTCGCAGAGAAGATGAGAGCAGTGATACTCGTCTCAGCGTGAGCTGCCATTTACACATGCAACACATTTGCACATTCAAAATAAGACTGGGAACATTCACTGATTCATGTACAGTATATCATTCAATACATGAATCCTACTGGCTGTACAGAGTGTGTGTGTGTGTGTGTGTGTGTGTGTGTGTGTGTGTGTGTGTGTGTCGTACCTGTGTGTGTTCAGCAGACATATCCAGAGTATCTCAGGGTTTCTCTCTCTCCTCTTTCTCTCGCTCTGTTTTTCTCTTACTCTTCCCCTTCACGCTCTCGCTCTGTGTCCCTCGCCCTCTCTCTCTCTCTCTTACTTTCACTCTGTGTCCCTCACCCTCTCTCGCCCTCTCTCTCTCTTTCTCTGATAAGGTGGTCAGAGTGCAAAGTGTGATGTAAGTCAGAGTGTGTTTAGGGAGTGGACTGTGTTACTCTCTTTATGTGCACTGTTTACAGGAATGTGTGTGTGTGTGTGTGTGTGTGTGTGTGTGTGTGTGTGCTTTGATCTATAGAAATTGATATTTATTGATATTTATGGTTGTTGTGACTCCTGACTAATTTCATTCTTTAGTTTTCTGTGTTTGTTTAATTAGTCTTTGTGTAAGAATAAAACTTCATATCAGTAAATTATAGTAAGAAAATCCATTTTACACATTAATGCATCAGTAATAATCATCAGATAATATCATATATAACAGTAAATCACTCTTTACGCTCAAGAATACTTTTACTTTGAATGTTGGATGTTGAAAGCAGGACTTTTACTTGTAATGGAGAATTTTTTACATAGTTGTACTTTTACTTCAGTAAAGTATCCGAATCCTTCTGAGGACGAGTCAGAGGAAACAAAGTGTCAGTGTGATGTTGAACTCAGACTTTATCAGCTGGTTTTATTAAAGTGAGTGAAATGTATTTTTCACTGCTGCTGACGGGATTATTTGTTTTGACTCAAGAGTAAAGAGCAGCCTGACCTGTGTTCGGTCGAATGAGACAGGTGTTTTATTCTGATGAGTTAAAACCTCGAGCTGAGAGAAATCATCACAGCACAGAAACTCCCAGCATGCCTTGTGTTATTAAAATGATTTGATGACAAATGTTGATTATATTCAGACAAGATGCATCTGACTGATGAGAGGTTTAAACCCACAGCTGATGTTTAAATGAATGTGAAGTTCACTGAGAGCAGAATATGAGCTTTGGCATCAGTTGGAAGAATAATTTTATTATATTGTTTTAATTTTGTATTATATAGTATTTCCTTTTTGTTTTTTAAATTTTCATTATATTGATGCTGATATTTCTCAGTAATAAGTCAATAATAATTTATTTTATATTTTCATTTCTAATTTTAAAATTTTTCTCTTAATTTGATTAATGAGTAAAATCTTCCTCCATATTTCAACAACTCAATGTATAAATCAATATCAAACGAGACACAACACCTGTCAAAATGTAGATGTTCAGAATCCTGAGTAGTCAGTGGTCGTTACTACATTTTTTCAGATGAGGTCTGACAGTCCTGTGTGGGATCTACTTTCCTTTTTGTGATAATATATTTATGCATGTTGGAGATGAGGAGTCGGATCAGGGTGAAATATTTACAGCTGAGTTGAGGATCTCAGACCTTTATTTTCACTTGGTTTACTCCGTTTGAATGTGTTTTATTATCAGTGTGTTCAAGTGTCAGAGCTGCTTTAGACTATAGAGTCTGAGCCTAAGATCTGCAGCCTCATTAGAGACACTGAAATGTCAGACTACACACACACACACACACACAGAGCAAGAGGATGAAAAATAGGTTACACACAGTTATACAGAAAAACAAAGTAAATGAGACCTCAGTGAAGCGAGAATCTCTGTATATGACTGACCTACATATGACCTGTGAATATAAATCTACTCACACCAACAACAACAACGACTGTCAGAAGCTGCAGAGTCGTAAAGTCTCACATTCATAATTTGTTCCATTAAATTAGTTCGTTTGCCTCCAACCTCCACTCACATTTATCTTATTTATGAACTGCAGCAGCAGAGACCAGGTTCACATCCAGAGACCAGGTTCACATCCAGAGACCAGGGGGGTATTCCAACAACGTTGCTAAGGAAATCTGCGCTTACTTGAAAGCGTTGTTAGAATTAACGTCAACTTTCACTTCAGGCCCGTTTCATTAAAACAATTCATGTCACAGAAAGAAGGGAAAACAAGAGCCGTCTTCTCCTCAGCAGCAGAGCAAACCCTGCTGATTAGTGTTGCCATCCGCTGCTTATAATATGTGAATAATGTAACGTCAAGTAAAACCAAACTAGTTATAGTTTAACAATGAGCAGTCGACTGACTAGGTCTGTGTGCTGTGAGAAAATACATGTATGCTCCCCTTCTTCAGGAACAAACCCTAGTTTCTGAACACGGACAAGACAAAAGTGATGCGAGTGCAGAAATACATTTGATGGAACTGTCTTTTGAGATTATGTTTCCAGCCGTTGGAAATTCATTGAAACACAGCTACATTAAGCTTTAGAGCTCACTTGCTATGGAGCAGGCTAGTTCAGCAGTATAAGTTACCTTGATTACTGAGCAGGGAGTCTTATAAGCTGCAGTAATGTCACAGATCTCTGACTTATATTAGCGAATCTTAACAAAATAAGCCAGGATTTTCCTTTATCTGCCTTGATGGAGTAGAGCCCTGTTCTCTGGATGTGAACCTGGGCCCTGTCCATGCAAAATCCAAACAGGCAGAATCAAAAAGAGAGTTCCGTCATGTGTCTTCTTGTGCTCGCATGACCCTTTGTTGTTGATGTTGTAACCATGACAACCAAGACTGTCTAATGTTGGGGAAGTACTTATTTTAACCCAAATCACCATCTTTTTGTAAACCTAACCAAGCCATTATTATAGTAACCATGGAGACAAAGGTAGATACGCCACTCTCGTTTTCAGGTGACAGCCCTATGCGTCGTATCAGAGGGTTGTTCAGGTCGGAGGACTGTTTGGGTCAGGACCACTGCGGTTGGACCACATGTGAACAGCATGGAGAAGATGGATTCTCACTTATTAGAAAACCAACTGTGTCACCAGGTTATCTGAACAGCAC